GAATTTGACTATAAGATTTAAAATATATATGATTTTCTACCTGACAAGCAAAAAAATGAATATCTGTATGCATGGTTGTTATGAAATATATTTGCATTCATAAGAACATCAAACAATCAATAAAAAAGTTTTATGCTACTTGAATAATCCTTTTTGATGAGTGTGATCTCTACAGTTAGCCAAATTGAGGTTCCCTCAAGTGCCAGTATCCTAAAGAAACTGAATTATGTTAGGATTATGCCGCAAGGTTGTTAATACTACAATACTATTTAAATAACCTTTTGAGTCAAACATGCACTTCAGAATTTCGGTTAACACTGTGAGGAAGAACACAGACTCTGGATGTTAGCCCCTTTACTAACAAAACGCCATGTTAAAATCAAATCAATACCCAACGATTAATGGAGATAATTAAGGCGGTAATTTTTCTCAGATATAAGATGAGCAAGTCAAAAATAATAAACAGGCACATGCAAGAATATTAATCAATGCGTTAAAGTTATTTTAAATGATAAACTGCAATATGTTCTGTCCTGAATAACTTCCTTTGTTCACCATTTTTTGTGCACACATTCGGACACGTCAGTGAGAGCGGTACACTGTTTGGCGCCAAACACTTTCGTTTTGCTTCTTTTGACGATATTTTTAGTGTGAAGTTGAAGCGCCGGGCGAATATCCTTTTCATTTTGACGACAGTGTCTCGTTCTTTTTAACTGCTCTATATATTTCGGTTTGTTGCGTGTAGGTGTTTGTTTTACCAGTTTTGTAATAACAGGCGAATTTGTTAGCGACCGTTAGCAGAAAAATAATCAACTGATCTCCTTGCAAATGCATTTTACTACGCAAGACCGGTACAAATATTCAAAACGCATGCATCCAAAGTCAGTGGGAATGGACAATATGAAGGGTCCAAATGTTGCACTTGAAGCGAAACCTCAGTCCAACTTTGTGACTCTAGATAGATCGCCGGAGCACGGTGCGGGCAACATGACCTGAAACAGTATCGGTAAGAGCCACTTCAACAGAGTTTTTGCAATCGTTACTAGTATGACAACGGGCTCATGCCTCTGTGGTAGTGCGTTCACCTCAATGACGCGTAAATGAGAAAAGTCCCAAAAATTCATTTTATTCAAACCATGGTCCTTACCAACAAAGACCGTTTTAACTGCCATATACTTGCAGATGGGCGCGAGATGAGAACTCAGTCGTACAAAATCCCTCTAGTGTATTTTCTTTTAAAGTGCTGCTTTGAGAAATGAACCCGTTGATCCGCAATATTTTGTCGGTTTCCTTATAAACTGGCAATATGCGAACTATCAAATCTTCGACTTGCAAATAAAAATACCCACCACGAATATTTTGTTTCTAAGACTCACTATAAATTTAACTGATGCGTCTGGTTTATTTATATCTTCAACAGTAGGTTAGTAATGCGTTTACCAGTTCGCTAACGGTAAGTACGATTTTCGCAAACACACGGGGTTTCATCCATTAAGACAATTAGATCTGACGAAGCTCAATCTTATTAAGATATCAGAATACAAAAACTTGCAACTTGCTAAATCAAGCATGAAAAAAGAACCAAGCCGAGTCTTCATATTCCTATTTATTGATGTTAAATTATTATCTGCTACGAAATGTACATTTCTTTTCCTATGTTTTAGCCCGGATTTGAAAAAGTCGATTTCATTTGCCCCTCTGGGGTGACTAGTAAACTTGATTTAAAGTTTGTAGCGAGTATATTTTAAGGGTTTTAGCATCGGCGGCATGTCCGCAGTGAACTATTACTAAATGCAAAATGCCCAATACACTGGAAACAGATATCCTTTGATGCTTTATATGTCGACGTTAAAGAATATCCTGCGGCCTCTCCTCTACGCGTTTAATGAGCAAACAGTCGACTTTAGAGTATTATGGAAATTCTGTAAAATGGGAAGTTGGTTCCCTACTCCAGCTGCACGAGCAAATGTTTTTAAACGACGCCCTGTGCCCAGCATTTAAAGAAGCCCAATCTCACAAGACTCTTTACGAATGGAAATCAAACGTTAGTGTCCCAGAAGATCAGCTTTTGTTTACCGATCATAAATTTATTTGCTGTGGCGCCGAATTACTTTCGAATCAGTTGATATTCATGATTTCGACTAAGTGATTTCTACGTCTAAGTTACTTTTGCTTTATATCAAGACAAACATGCAAGTAAGATTTAAATTTCAGAGACTGATGTGAGAATATTATGAGTGTTTCCCTGGGTTGAACTCGTAACCGATTTTTATTCAGGTAGACGAAGTTCAGACGTATCATAAGTTTTGTCTAAATCTTGCTCGTATGCAGAAATGAGGGACATTTGATTTTCTGTTATGTTTAATTTCACCACCCCGGTAGGCGAGCAGATTTGATAAGCACATCAAAGAAGATATCTGATGCCCCGAAAAGTTAAGGCGTCTATCGTTGAGATTTTTTTAATAGCTGCGTCGGTCCGCACAGTTTTTGTAATTTGGCTGCATGTGAATAGCGTAATGTGTAAGCGGCATTTGCCGCCCTCTCAAAAACTGTTTGAACCTTGCAAATGCGAGTCCGGCGTGCTATCTGTACTGCAATGTTCTAACAAACTTAACAACTTTCGAAATTATCGGCGTATTGTCGGAATCCTGGCCCGTTTCCTGCTCAGACATTATAGCGACTCCAAGAACTGGCTGTCTAAAAGAATACTTGTAAAGATAAGCCAACCAATGCCTTTTATTCCATACCCGGAGTCTTCGATATCACCAGCCGGCCTCAAAACATCTTAGCAGATATGTTTTGGCATTGAGCCATTTTCAATCTGATTGATTACTGCCAAATCTTACTAAATATTTTGAGAATGGTATGCGGTGTATTAAAACAAATATTTCAGGTCTGAAAGATAACTCCCCCAGTTAGAACACAATTATATGCAAGGCTGGGGAAAAATATTTTCAGCGAGAGCACGACTACTTTTGTAACTATTATTTTAAAATGTTACTAAGGTTTTATATTTTGTCTGCGTGTGTGCATTGTAGCATTCTTGCGCAACTTATCAATCCGCAATGAAGGTGTCTTATTCAATTTTACTTTTGATAGTTCTAGTTTAGAAAATTTAAAATATAACCGGACTGCAAATGCTGATTAAACGTTGCTTTTCGAGCGCTCTGCTATAAATAGACGGAAATAATGCAACCACGGCAAACCTACCTTATAAAAATAAAGCACATTTTGACTTTTGGAAACGTTTGATGGTAAGGACAGGTTGCGTAACTCCATTGGATTTAACAGATTAATGTAATTATTATATTTTTTAGAAGGCCTTGTTTTTATTATTCTCTAGCTACATGTAATCTCCATTTGCGTATTATTTAACACCTTGATATAACCGCATGCACCGAATTATTTCAGTATGACTTTCAGAAAAGAATTTTTCTGTCATAATGTTCTTGTACCCTTCTCCCTAATTTCTTTGTCTTACCTTGATTTCCTTGTTACACCTATGTACTTGCATCGCATTTCTTTGTCGATCCTAGACGCCCTGAATTACCTATTTTTTGGGAAATATTTACAAATTTTTATGCCACTTTGTTACTTACCATACTACGCGTGTTGTAATGGTTGCCGGCTGCGGTGTGGTTTACCTTGTCTCATTTAGAACGAAAACGTTTTGATTACTCGATATCTGCGGTTTCTGTTTTTGAATGCGTACGCGTAATTTATTTATACCCTTAAAAATACTTGTGCATATTCCCACTCATTGACAATGATGAGTAAATTCCATTAAGTTAGTAGGTGGGGTTACACAATCTACCGTTGCCTGTTTGACGTAAAATTAGATACTATGGAGCAGGTAGATTTTAACGCCCAATATGAACGTAGAGCAAGACTGTGTCACGTACAATGCTGGATATATGATAAGAATAATTAAAATAACAAAATAAATTAAAATAAAATCCGCTTGGGGATTCAAAGACGATTAGCATTTTTAATGCCACAATGTGCAATTCTGACAATCGCAGGCGTCCGCTCAAGGCGCAGAAGAGTTAAAAAAGAGTATTTAGCGAAAGTACGTATATGGCTTTCATAAATAACTACCAGTTCGGCAGGATTAGATAACAGGGAAACAGTATAACCGGTTATCAAAATCAGAGAATAACCCAGTTCGAATTGTAGATATTTAGTTATGAATGATACAGACGCAATTACAGTACATGACCGTTCTCTGAAATATGATAACGGAAACTGATTAGAGAATTTTTGGACACCTTTGACGTGGCGCATTTCGTTCGCACACCCACATCCTTCAATGAAATGTCCTTTTCTTGTTCAGAAATTGTGTTAGCGTAATTATATCAAGTGAACTTTCAGTAAATTTTGGCGAAAATAGACGTTGGAATATATTTGTGCAATTTCCTATGCTAATACACGTCCTAGACTCCAGTTACGCATCTGAGCGACATTTTCATTAAAATAATAGTAAGTTCCCGCGAGAGTTTTAATAAAATGATTTAGCCAGACTATAAATTTTATTTCATGTCCGATGTTGACCCTGGTTTTCAATCTCCTAACAAAAGGTCATTTTAAAAAAACCAGATGTTTTATCAATTCCTTTATGTCAAATTAGTAGATCTGTGCGAATTGGAGCCCTAAAGTGCAATAAAAACACAGAAAGAGTTTCCTTCGTTTAAGTGGGCTGAATGTTTTTTTGCCGTTTGGAAAATTCTACCTGATATCAAAAAGATGACCACCTCAGTCGGCGGGCTTTTGAATTCGAGCCGCCATTTTTGTAGCTCTCCATTCACGTGTGGATTTTTACTATTTGTACATTTCTGTGCCTATTTCCCTTCGATATATTGAACTGTTTTGCATCCTTTGTTTGTCTGAACTAAGATTATGAGGTCGTCTCTACAGTACGCTAGCACTCTTTTGAATGGCATTAAATTGTCAATTTCACTTACGAACGACCATAATGCAAACTGTTGTATTTTACGGCCAATATGTCGTATTTGCGATCGTTCTGTGTTGAATTTATCGAATATTCGTCAACAACGGCCTATGCATTAGAGAAAACACGGTTTGGATGGCAATTCGCATTCAAACTTCGAATCGACGTTGGTGTAGAGATTGTAAGTCCCTTTTCTCTTACTCTGATGGTTTGATAAATGTCATCGCTGATTTATGTAGGCCCGGTTGTTAAGTAATTTTAAGGGCATCATATTTGCTAGTATTTACATTCCCCCCTCTTCCTGTGAAGGTGCACTAACCCGTTTTTTCGACTTTTTCTCACATAAACTTGATATATTATCCTGCGACTATCTTACTCTCTTATGCGGCGATTTTAATCGCGTGAATTTACGTATCCTTACAGTTTTAGGCTTCGATAATCCTGTGTCTTTTAATACTCGCGCAGATGCCCCTCTTAACCATATTCTGACTAATCACAGCAAGCTTTTTTGGGTAAAAAATAGGGCTCCATTGTCAGGTTCTGACCATTCCACTTTATTGTGTCTTCCAAAAATCTATTCCACTTCTAAACGTGCACTGCTTGCCAAGCCTGAGAGAAAGGTTAAGGTTCGCAACACGTCCGCCGAAAACATTCTCTTGCTTCAGACTTGCATTTTCCTTACTATCCCCACTTTCCTTGAACAATATAATGTTGAATCCTGTTCTTCCAACCTGACAGCGTTTTAAAATGAAATTTTCGATATTTGCTGCTCTCTTGATACTGTTATGGTACGACCGGATAGAATTTCTTCCCCCTATCTGAAATCGTTAAGACGAAAAAAAGAACTCCTTTACAAGCTAGGCTTACGTGATGGCCTTAAGGACGTTACCGTCTTAATAAAAACAGAGATTGACAGGCTAAATAGCCTGTTTGTCCGCCAACGTTTTTCCTCTTCTTACTCCCCCCTTTCCCCCCTTCCTCAGCTGAGATTTGGAAAAATATTAAGCGTCTCACTGGCCATCGCAACACAGTGGCGCATGTGGATGCAGATTTAGACTCCTTAAATAAAAATTTTATATTTAGTCACAATGACTCCCATCTTCCCTTAGATGAAATTCCCCTATCACAGAGTACATTCCAACCCGTGTCTTTGGCAACAGTAGAGAAACACCTTAAAAACGTCCGTGGATCAACAGCTGCCAGACCGGATGGTGTCTCGCCTTTTCTTCTTAAATCTTGCAGTTCTCAGATAGCCGTTATTTTAACGCACCTAATCAACATGTCTTTCATGGAGTCCAAGATTCCCGACGCCTAGCGTAGAGTGAGAATCACTCCCATCCATAAAAAGCCCGCTAGCTTTGGTCCTAAATCTTTTCGTCCAATTGCCTGCTCCTCTGCAATACTAAAGCTTGTTGAAAGAGTTGCCCTAGAAATCATAAAGCCTTTTTCTTCCATTTTTTCCGACTCTTTATAGTTTGCATATAAAGCCAAACGGAGTACTTTAGATGCTGTCGCTCTTGTGGTTAACTCTGCCCTAAAAGCATTAGACAAGGGTTGCCGCGAGTATGCGTGCGCTTTTCTTGATTACTCCGCCGTCTTCAATACCGTCCCGCGCCCTCTTCTCCTTACCAAAACCTCCGCATGCGGCTCTCCAGGCTGGGTCGTCTCTTGGCTTAGAGATAATTTTACCTTCCGTACTCAATTTGTCCAATCTGACAAGCGGAAATCTTTGATCCTTCCCAATGACTGCGGTGTTCTCCAAGGGTCCATTCTATCCTCTCACCTTTCCGCCCTCCACACTGACGATCTAAGGTCCCCTAATGACTTTCTTCTGGTCCAGTATGCTGATGATGTGGTTGTTGGGCACCCTCTCAAAAGTCAGACACACCTCCGGTCTCTAAAGGATGGCCTAAACCATGTCCTGGCGTGGTCGGAGGAAAATGGTCTCCTAATTAACAACCAAAAATCCGTTCAGTGTATTTTTCGACTGCGGCCCTCCCCTAATCCTGATTCCTCTGACATTCTTCCTAACGAAGTATCCTCTTTCAGGTACCTCGGCTTTACTTTGTCCTCAAATCTTTCATTTTCCCTCCATATTGAGTCCCTTTTTATTACAGTTCGTAAACTTCTTTACTACATACGTCGTTTACATTCCTACCACACACCTCAACCCTTAGTCTGGCGATTCATTGATGCCTGCATTCTGCCTCTTATCCTATACTGCTTCCCTGTCATTTTTCCTGCTTTGCTAAAAAAGGATCTTTTAATTTTGAAACGAGTCCTTCGAATGCTCTCTACTGCAGTAGGTGTTTCTTATCTTTCTTAGTTGACACTATCCTACAACGACATTTCAATACGGTCAAGCAATTTGCTGGTCGGATTATAGATGACGTTACCCATCCCTTGCATTTTGATCTTATTTCTGCGAAGTCTTCCCGCCCGATGCGCCGCAGCTTCCGACTTATATCCTGTCGCACATCGGCTTATCGAGCTTCTGTATTGCCATTCCTAGCGCGCTATCTTACGTGCGCAGAGACAGAAATACAGAAGATAAGACTTGAACTATCCCCATAATAATCGTTTCTTTGACTCTTGAATAATCTCTTACTTATTTCCTGCCCACAGTGAATAGAGCCAATTTCTTTGCCGAAAATTGTGAACTTACGATTTCTAAATAAAGCAAATTCCCCTCTCCCTCTCTCGCTCATGGAATGGTCATTTACAGCTTTAAACATATGACGCACTTCTTTTCTAGTATTTTAAATTCTGTGCGTATGTTTTTCAGAAATAGAACGAGAAAAACAATTTTAATTTCATTAAAGTATCAGTACTTGTATGGGCTAGCTGCTGTACATTCACAATCGAAGAACGGAGCCTAAAAGCAAGCAAAAGCAGTGAAAATGGCCTCAATGTATACAGAATGGCATGTTTTTGCAATTACCTTGGAAAAATACTAGTGTTGCTTTGGAACGTGAAAGAAGCCGTTAAAGATGTCAAATTTTTACTTGGCCTCGTTTTGCAAAAACGCAACGTACACAGAAATCCGTCGACTAAGTGCAGTAATAAAGCCCTTCCTAAAGAGGTAACTTATTCAGGAAAGTTGTCTCATTTATCCAAGGCATATTTGTTGGTGACTTTCCTTGTGGACAGTTATTTTTCTCAAAAATGAAGTCTGATGTTTGAATGAGTCTTCAAATGCGACACAAGCAACCATCTTCATAAAAATGAGCGCCTAAACACTCAGTTATTCTGTAAATGCCTTCAAAAACAATCTTATTTTAAAGTTCTCAAAAGACAGCTAATTCGGAATCTGCCTTTTTGGGCTTTCGGATGAAAACACTGAAACTCATGAAGTATTCAGCAATATTTCGAGGCCGATCCTAAACTCAACGTAGTCCAAAACGAACGAAGAGTATTAATTAATTTAATGGGAGAAAGTTTCTCTCTATAAACACAAAATGGTTTGTTTACGATCACGCCTGTCAGTTGTATTTAAATTTATTAGACAACGACCCGCTTCATGGCATGTCACCTTATGAAAACTTTTGATACTACGACGTCCTTGTTGGCGAAATCAAGCAAAGTCCAGCTTCTCTTTTTGAACCCCATCTCATTTAACGCCAAATCGGTAATGAAATTATGAAGCACTGGAAACCAGTTTTGGAATCTACACCGAGAATGTAGTCAGTTGACAAACCGTCATATATGAAATCACACTACCTAGTTAACGATATTTAGATGTAAACTTAACTGAAACGCTGCCCGTAGACGTGATTTTGTCTACTTTCATATTTACTACGTGTATGGTATGAGAATACATTTTTAATTTATTTTCTTAATTGGAGCCATTTCTGACGTTTTCGGAATATTGTGCTTTTCAAAATAGATCGACATTTCTAAACAACGCAACTCTGCCTATAATATTTCTTTTATTTTTTAATTCTTTTAAACTTGAACTTAATAACATAGACATTTAACTCATAAAATGGTGTCGTTTTGCGAGTGATTGGCAATCATTCGTAAATTTCGACACATTTCATGAGTTAGGTCACGCACTTTATATTGCAAGTGACAACTAACATGCACTGTTTGCATGAATAAAAGCGTCTATTTAAAGACTACGACGTCTCGTACTATGCACAATGTCTTATGCGTTGGCAGCCGTAACGTGTTCGTATCTTTTTGGCAACAAATTAAATCTGCGACAAAAAGCTAATGAGCGTAAAGAGGTCAGTTGGTCCGTTCATATTTGACCTCCTCACAAGAATCGAGGCTCTTTCCAACGCAATAATTTTGTACTGAGCGAAAAAATGAAATCCTGTAGCTAACTGTCTACGGCCTTCTAAACTGCCACTTGGTCTTTTTTACTCGTTATATAAAATAAACATTAACGTTCTTATGTTATTAAATAAAGTCATTGTCTTTTCTTTAGTATTTTCGCATTTTTGGTTACAGTACTTTACTCAAATTATTTAGCAACCGTTAAGATCGATCAGTCAGACCTCCTGACAGAACTTTAGTCCCACGAAGTTTATGAATTATTAAAAAGGCTCTCACCATGACTGAAGAGTTTTTGGAGCAGAGATAAAAATTTATTTAGTGTAAGCCAGATTTTGGTGCTAACAAATGAAAGTAAGGAAGGATTTCATTGTATCAGTTTATATGAGGACAGATTTTCTCCCGTTTGATTTACTTTTGTCATTTATTGGTCCGTTTTGAGTATTATTTTCACTCTGAATGCAAGCGTTATAGTAATATCGTTGTTGCGTTTGCCAGGAAAATTTGGGAGATAAGCGCACGTTAAATCGTTTCTTTGCAGCACTATAATGCTAATGAAGATAAAAATCAGTAATTTATTCATGGTTTAATACCTGATTCGATTACATTATCAATATCGCAGTTCGTGCATTTCATGCACAAAAGTGTTTCTGCCACGTATTGGGCTTGGCCGCTATCCGAACTGTAGCTATATTTGAACAAGGCGAAGACGACAAAGCATGCAGAATTTAATGACGTCATAAATTTCGAGACCTCTCATTCAGCTGCACACGGTCATTGCATAGTTATATTACAAGGCAAAAACTGTTCAATCAACGATCGACCTAGAGAACTAAAACGTGATAGGTAACCTGAAACATGGGTCTAGTATGCGGGTGCATATGGTGAGGGGGGGGAGAGAAGTCATCCAAGTATGAGAGAACTGGTGCGGCGTGATTTGGAGTGCAACGTGCGGGGAGCATTCAGTCATGCCGGGGAGAGGGGGGGGCGGGTGAGGGGCAAAATGAGAGGGCGGACATGGGAACAGGGTCTCGTCCATAATCGATAATTACCATGGCAGTGCCAGGTTTATCACATGGTCAAGCTGCTTACAGAGTTCTGGTTTCCTCCTCCGTATTGCAGCGGCCTCTGCAAAGCGCAAGAGACGCCCGGTCGTCGCCCGAAACAGGACCTTGAATGCAACCATTTGGTCCACCGTATGGCCCGTGTCCAATAGGTGCTTTGTGATTGAGCTTCTGGGTACCTTATTTTCCGCCTTAAGCAGCCACTTCGGCATGTGTTCAGCTGACCGAGCTGCCAATTGCCTTTGCGTGCGCCCGATGTACTTGCATCCGCAACTACATGTAAACTCATAAATACAATTTGATGTGGCGTGCATAGGCAAAATGTCTTTAGCTGGTCTAACTGGGATGGCGGTTGTGGTACTTATGAACAACAATTTAGAGGCGGCATACGTCTTTTCGATAGTGCACCGAAGTCGTCGCTTGATCACGTTTGACACATTATCACCCTTAAAGGGGAGGTAGATGGTCACGGACTTTTTAGGTACAGATATTTCTTCAGGAGTTTCTTGTCTGGGATGGCGATATTTATCGATGAATTTCTCCGGATACCCGTTTGCAAGAAAAACGTTTTTTAGGAAAGTAAGCTCGTCATCGATCGTATCTGAGGAGCAGATTCTGGTGGCTCTATTGAACAGGCACAAAACCAAGTTCCGTTTTCTCTGAATTGGAACGAAACTGAGGAAGTGCATGTATTGTCCTTTCCAGGTGGGTTTTCGATAGATGGATCTCTGAATAGAGCCGTCTGCTCGCCTACGTACAAGAATATCCAGGAAAGGTAGTGTGTCATTCTTCACATGCTTGATCGTAAATTTGATCTTTGCATGTGCTTTGTTCAGAGCCTTTAGCAGTAGTTCTCCGTCGCCTGGGTTTTTGACTATAGCGAAAATGTCATCTACATATCGCCTATAGAATGAGGCTCGTTGTAAGTTCCGAGCTAGTTTTCGCTCTAGATTAGACATTAAAATGTCCGCTAGGACTGGCCCCAATGGACTGCCTATAGCTACAACGTCGATCTGTCTATACAGCCGCCCGTTGAACAAGAACTGTACATTCTTTGTGCATATCTGTAGTAGTTCCCGTAGTTGCTCTGGTGGTAGGTGTGTTTCACCCGCATGCTCACAAATTACGTCAATTGTTTCATCCAGTGGCACGTTTGTAAACAGGCTCTGCACGTCAAGCGAGATCATGTGTTTATTCAGTAGATTCTGATGCTTAAGCTCATCTACAAAGGAGAAAGTCTCTTTGGTAGTATAAACGGCAAGGTTGCGTCTGATTGGTTCGATTTGCTTCACTAACCATTGGGCAAGTTTATGTTGAGGTGAATTCCTCATTGATAGAATCGGTCGTAATGGTACCCCTGGTTTGTGCAATTTTGGCAGTCCATATAGTCTGGGAATATGCGACCCTACAGGCCTAAGACACGCAGCCATGTTCTCGTCTATTATTTGCTTTTCAAGTAACGATTTAACCATTCTCCCAATAAGGTCTTCTAGCGCTTTTGTTTCTTCTCTCTCATGGGCTTTCGAGGAAAATTTGCTGGTGTCACTCACTATCGCTTCCATCTTTCTCACGTAATCAGTCTTGTTTAGGATCACGACCCCGCTTCCTTTGTCACGTCTTGAGATGACAACTTCAGTAGTCTTACGTAGGTCATTTAGGGCCGAGATGTGTTGTCTGGTTAGCAGTGAGCGTTGCATAGTCGGGAAAGTTCTGTATTGATAGGCGATATCTACGAAGTTCGCTTTCAACCATCTCACGTTGTCCTCTGACCCTTTGCAGCTGAATGAGAGGTCTCGAAATTTATGACGTCATTAAATTCTGCATGCTTTGTCGCCTTCGCCTTGTTCAAATTTATCCCGGGAAAACACTGCTTCAATGTAGCTATATTGTCTGGGGCAAAAGCCGAATTCCTACAGTTGGCACGATTTAAAAACCAAATGTGGTTTTGTTAGTTAATCAAGCAATGTTGGAAATTAATAATATATCGCTCATAAAAGTTATTCGACGTCTTCTAAAAAACCAAACATTTTATTTTCACTGGTATTGTAAGCAGATAAAGATTAATTAGTCACCATAGCACTTGCCTATTTCCTTATAATTTTAAATGGCTCAATAACAAAATAAGAACAAAAGCCATTATGAGAAGATTTTTTAACATCACCGTGGTATTATAGTATACGATAGCTTTCGACTAGTATCTGCCATGTGTTAATGCTCATACACGCCCTGGTGACTTTACGCGATATTTCAAATCTCTTTGTTGAATTTATATTGCGTCAGTGGCGCATTCCTGTGCTTATACCTCCTACGGCGATGTCCAAATCGCGCCTACTGACGATAACTCAAAATCTAGAATCCAAAAGTGAATCATCCCCAAGACTGATATCACGTACTCGTGTATCTTAAACAGGCCTTATCAGAACAGTTAGTTATAACCACAATTTCAATTGCTGAAATTTACAGCAGACTAAAGCCAAACGTTCAGTTTCGTATTGCAGACAAAAAGATAGCTTTGCTATTGATGCACACTGGAAAACATACAGAACACAAGAGCAGAAAAATAAAGTGGAAACTTAGACGATGCAAACGCTTCACACAGTAACGAAGCTGAATGACATTACGGAGGCGGGCAGAAGAAAGGGAGATTTTTGGTGGTTCCTGCATACTAGACGAACTATGCACAAATAAACTAACAGGGAAGCCTTATTACAAAAATAAACCGGGTCTGGGGACGATTGTCCACGAGGGGCTGCGAACACAGTGGTCCAGCAAAGACGACGGCGGAGACTCCTCGTCCGATGGACGGCAGCTTGTCACAGGGTCCCTGGAGGTTAATCCTAGCCCGCATTTGTAGCTGTTACAAGCGTCGAGTATGAATTAGCCCTTGCAATTATTTGGCAATAGGACTGGGGCAAAAGTTAGACAAACTCATGATGGAGATATCCTTACTCATTTATGTTTATGTTGATTTCAGATTAGTAAACGTAAGAGATCTAGGTCGATAATGTGAGAAAAAAGAAGTGTTCACCAGATCAATTAATTTGGCCGTTTATGAAAATTTTGATCGATTTTCGCAATAAACGCTTCGATAATGTCGAGCCGACCAAGCTCTCCGCAGAGTCAGCAATACAATTCCCATGACCCGGTAAGCACTTCATTTTTCTCGGATTACAGTGATCTATTTTACGTGCACTTTTCATACGAAGCTAAACCGTGATTAAGTACCAGTCGTATAAATGCGAGAAACATCAGCGCGTGCACCAATATAGGGGTAAGTTGCTCGTCTTCTAGAATTTCTGACAACATAGCGGTCCTCCGGCAGGCTTTATATGACTTTCTACAGCACGTCAGACAACTGCATTCTTTCTAATTGCCTGGCCTAGAGCCCAGAAATCGTGAACCGTCACCGTTTCGTCATTTCTAACAACGATCTCACTTTGATCCAACTGTGAAAAACCCCGTACCTTAGTGAGATTCGAAGCCATGACAGAAGAGGGAGGCTTGAATACAGCCAAAGCTCTAGCCACCTGAGTAAAGAGGCCCCACTGGACGACGCCAATTTAATAAAATTTGGGTCTAGTTTACCCCTCCAACCTACTGCAACGTCTGAATCCACAAAATCTGATACAGCAAGCTGACTGCCCAAGCAGGATCTCCTAAGTAATATATCTGGAGTTAACTAGGGCCACGTAATTCATAGGTGTTACGGCAGATTTCATATGTGTTCTCAGGTGGGGGCTCGTATCTCAGGTGACTAGAGTGTCAGCTATACTAAAGCCACCCATTGCTGCCATGAATTCAAATCCCACTTAGGCACCGCGTTGTTCACAATTCGTCAAAGTAAATTATTTGTAAGCTTTGAAAGGCAATTTAGAGAGCAAACGTCTGCTTTTGATAAATACTCTTCGGACATGCGCATTATGACTATTAACGTTATAAGTTAAAAGGCACGGGCAAGCATCCGCCGTGCAGACGCCACAGAGGCCTTCAGAGTGATTTATAGAGTCTCATCAATCTTTTTTAAAAATACTTGGGAAGCGCTTGTTGGCTACGGCAAAGGCGCTGCAATCAGGCTACGCGGACCGGTCCAATGCTCACAGAAGAACTTCATACCGGTCTTACAGTTGCCATACCTCAAAGCCACCAAGCCAGCCACTCGCATGTAATTACCGTCGACGGGACCTGCCTTCTCTCTGGCGCTGACTGAAATTGTGATGTTTATCTCCTCTCTCCATCCCGTCCCAAAACTCGAGCTACAGCATGATTATCTACTTGTCTATATCTTTTTATTTGTTACTTCATTAGCCATATATATGTACAGACCTGATGAGAATTTATCAAACCAGACGTATGCTAGCCAAATGCTTTTTGACTTTTACAATTTGAACTTTCGCAACTATATCCCAAAACGGCAATAACAGCTATGACAATGATTTGGCAGTTCAGCTCTTTTATAATTTTACTTCCAATAATATTCATTTGCATGCCCTGAGTGTGATTATTTACCCTGTTTAGAAGAAACATTAACGCTGAAGTTTATAAATTCGCAACGGTTTTCTTGATTACATTTTGGTCGTAGGACTAAATTCCAAATATTTTATGCCTTACGACCGTCATTTTACGCGAAAATTTAAAGCTAGTCAAACCAGATGCCTTTGAGCGGACCGTTGTTTGGAATTTGGAGTCCGCTTTTACCATTAGCAACGAGTGGTCAAACGTCTACGTTCGCAATATTCGTGTCCGTTGAAGTCCGAATTTCCCCGAGTCCACAGAAAAACAATTGGCGCCACCTGGCAGTGAATTCGAACGGAGTACAGTCGTGTCCTGAAACCTCTAAAATTCTTTACAGGATCTAGCGCAGTTACGGACAAATCAGTCGACGCCGCAAAATGTTGAGTTGGTTGATTAAATCAAATCCTCAGGCAAATAATATTGTAACGAAGCGTTACTTGCAACCTTTATTTGTCCAAATGGAAATTATGAACACTATTTTCTTAATATCATACACATTTTTACCAAAGCTATCTGTTCATAATCATTCCACGGTAAGCGGCGCGATAGAGTTAGTTATTCGACATTGTCAGTTTTCATGTAATCTTACCAATAATTTTCATCATCGACGACATTCTACACGCAATAAGCTGTGATCTCA